TTTTGTACGTTGCAATTCATATTTTTATTTATTTCTACCCATCTCGCGATAATTGAACAAATATTTATCATTCCGTCGTAATTTTGTAACTTTACACCACGAGCACAACATAAGCTCGAAAGAACACGTTGCTTTCAATGCCTAATAGTGCTTTAATTCTTGAAACAGCGTAGCCCATCATCGATATATGCATGTGGAGAGAGAAAAAAAAAAGGAGAGAATGAGGAGGAGGAGGAAGAGAAGAGTTATCCTCATTAGCGCAAAGTAAAGAGCCGCGCACATGCTGGCGCGGATTGAAAGTTGTGAAAAAAAAAGAAACGAAACGAACGAACGAACGAGTATGTGCTCCATACGATTGAAGTGGCTTCGTTTATACACACATACATACGCGGCATACGCGAATTCTCGATACGTTTGTATGTGTGTGTGCGTATGTATATAATTGTATACATTCACTCGATCGCGGCATACGTATGTATACGTGGAAATTTCAATTTTATACAAGAATTATGTTCATTAATGAAACCCCCGCTTGCTGCTGCTGTACACCTCAATCGCGATATATATGAATATACATATCGCAGCCGCCGTTCGGCGCAACAAATTAGTTTTAATAATCGCTCTCCTTTATGTGTGTGTACGGAGATAACTCTGCTCGTGGCATGGAACCATAAGCTCTCGATTTTTTTTTCTTCAATTTCATTTTATTCCGCTTTATTTTTAAAAAAATCAAAAAACAAGCCGCGCGCATAACGCTACTGCACATCAGCGATCGGTGAATTATCATATATAGCATATGTTCTCTAATCAATGGCGCGTGCAGCCGCTCGCACGAATAAACATTATAAATCAGCGCAAAAAAGAGTTAATTTTAAAATGGACTCGATAGCCGAGGTATAACGCGGGGCGCGGGATCGTTGAACTTTGAAATAAGCTCGCAAAAATACAGATGAATGTATATAAAACGCCATGACGTGCGTTGCGTTCGACTCGACACGAGTAGTAGATTTTAAATTTGAGAAGCCGCGCGTGTGCTTGAAATGGCTTTCCAATTATTTCCATAAAACCTCCCTCGCGCTACGGCGTGACTTGTTCGTGCACACATACACACGCGTGCATATATACGAGTCAAAAAGCTCCGAGAGTCCCGAGAGCTTTATAAGTATACGTATAATTTTAAAACGTCATGAAAACGAGATTCATGACTTTGAAGATCGTTGGATGTGTGCGTGGCGTTCGAGCTCATTTCGGATGCAGCTTCAGCAGCAACAGCAGCAACATCGACGACGTCAACTTTATTTCGTTGTGTGTGTATAATATGACCACTAATTATATCGTTCGGGATTAAACGTCATACGTACGTGCGACGTGTTATGAGCTTAAAACAAGCCTCGAACTTGGCGAGCGGCGATTAAAACAATCTCACAATATATAGGGGGGGTTGAGGATCGCACACAAAACTCGTCTATAATCGCTATACGATTATACGCGCGTATAACTCTGCACGGCTGGAGGATTGAATAGTGGTTAATGTCACCTCGACGATGAATTTTCTAAATTTCAAGGATCATTTTCGTATATAATCGTAAACGTCGCTGAAATAAAGTTTTTGTTCCAATAATAAACGAGAAAGTTTTTACCATAGAGCTCGACATTTTCACCCGTTAATTCGAAATTAGACTCGAAGGCGCTAGAAGATAATTAATTAATAAGGAAGGCCTAATAATAAAAGCAACCGCGGCAACAAAAAAAAACCTCGAAGCAGCGATGATTGAGCCTTAACGATCGGCGCACACGGAGCTCACGCTGGAAGAAGAAGACGCGTCGAACACGCGACGATCGGTATGCGCTGAAATTCGATCCCCCTTCGAATACGCCGCCGATGCCGCGCGTTCATCATGCGAGCGGCGCATTCCTCGCGGTATTCTTCAATTTATTACACATTAAATACGTACACACGCGCGCGACTAGTTAAAAATCGCGTATTTTCTCCGCCCGTCCCTCCCACACACGCTCGATCGGAAAAAGAGATTAAATTGCCTCGTTTAACGCACTAATTGGTCGGGGGGAGGCTCCATCGAGTGTGTACTGCAGTGGAGTAAACCAACGGAAAGTAAAAATACAAAAAAAAGCATCGCTTATAAACATCGATTCGCAGTAGCGCGTATATGTATACACGTTGCTATATTTATATAGTGTTTGTATACGAGAGAGATCGGCATCGTCGTCGTCGTTGACTTACCTGCGAATTAGAGCAAAGGAACGTGCGCCGCCGCCGCCGCGCGCTCTATAGTGTGCATCAACGTCGTGGCGCTCCTTCGACGGCGTGTGTGTGTGTACCTGCACTGCACAATAATATACAGTGCGTTTCCACCGCACGGCGCTTTATATGTACGCGTGTGTGTGTGTGAGTGAGTGTAAATAAAATGGTCCCACTGCACAGAGAGAGAGAGAGAGAGAGAGACACTCTGCTCGACTGCCTGCGTGCCGAGAGTATAAAGGTCTCCCTCGTGCGTCTGTGTGTGTGTGTATGTCTGTGCAGCGGTGCTGCAGGTATTTATGCGAACTGCTTTAATGTGTTGTGTGCGACTGTGCTCTCTGCGTGCGTAAACGTATATGTGTGTTTGTGTCTGTCTGTGTGTGTGTGTAAATCCCTGAGACTTGGGTCATGCAGGGCCTCGGCTCAGCGCGTCCAGCGTATTATATGACCGAGGATACGATGCACTTTCACTGATAAGGCAAAAACACCAGCAGCAACAGCACACAGCACCAGCAGCGTGTGCATATATCGCGAACCGCACCGGCACCTCGTAATCCGAGTCTCGCGATTATTTTTGCGATGAGCACGGATTTCGGCAGTTACTCTACTCCTGTCAATGTACGATACGGATATTAAGCCAAAAGAACTAAACGAAACACACTCGCTTCGTATTCGGAGCACACAATTCGACGTACCGATTTTTATCGACACGCACGCGCGAACACATATATACACGGTTATACACTACGAGCCGAATCGCTGAATAGTAGAAATGTCGTGCGAAACTTTTCAAAAAATCGAACGATTCTTCGTACGAACGTTCGAGCAACCTCGATATATATTTACACACATTTATAAACACACACACGCACACGTATAAACAAGTCGTAGAAAAAAACAACAACGAGTGAGTTTGGAGTCGAAGAAAGAGGCGAGAGAGCAGCGGCGAGCAGCGACATGCGCGTGAGGGAGTTCAGGCGCTCGCGTGCAGTCCGCTGCGTTGCGTTGGGACCGACTCGCAGTTTCGAACTGACTCTATATTCGCGTACGCGCGGCGGCCGATAGTATACAACGAGCCGTTTCGCCGAAGGATGCCGTTGCGCCGTCGCTGCTTCTGCCGCCACGGCCGTCGCCGCCGCCGCTTGGCACTGTACAGCACCCAGCCATATAGTGCATATAAGTATACCTATACACCATGACATCGAGTATAAGCAGTGCACTGCTGTGCGCCGTTTCCCTCTCTTTCTTTCTTTCTCTCTCTTATTCGCGCAGCTCTCTCTCGGCTCTCGTTCGTTCGCTCAACTCTTCTCTTCCGAAAAGTCGCCGGCGCATGTGTGTGCAGCATAATACCCTGAGACAGAGAGAGGAAGAAGTAAAGAAGTAGCGTATATATGTAGAGAACGAAAAGAAAAAGAGTAGTTTCTGCGCTGAGGTGTGTGGATTATATACGCGTTATGCACGTTGGGTTGCGAACGTATATACGTATTTTATATACGAGAGTCAGAACGTAATATACACATCCTCGCGAGTCTTCAGCTACCTACGGGCTATTTGAAACAACGGAGTTAGTTCGTTAGTCTATGCACGACGAATGCAGCCGTGTACAGCTTGTGCATCATCATCCACGTGTGCCGTTTGCAGCGCGGAGCGAGGTCCAGCTTCCATTTGTACGTTGATGTCCGTTACTTCGGATGGCCCGAACGTTTTGATTGCACAAACTTATTGTCCGTTGAGTTAATGTGATGATCCTGCATTTTACAAAAATCACGGAATTAATGGCAAGACGTTCATTCACAAGCCAGAATTTTAATATTTTTTAACGGTCCGATAAATAGAGGATCATACTCGATGGATTTGTGCGTACTGGAAAAAAAGGAAAACGTACTAAAATAAAGTACAGTATAACGTTTATAAAAAATTGCTGGGGTTCCAGGTACTAACTTATTTTTATAATTTTATCTTTGACCTTGGAGCTTGAATCGATTTTAAATTATGCAGTTGCATTTTTCGAAATCGATTCTCATTTTTTGGCTCAATTTTCAACTGAAGTTTTAAAATAAAAGTTCTAATACGGGGTTCCAGTATTTTATTTTTTCAAATAAAGCGAGTTAGTGAAAACGGAGAGGATTCAGTTAGGTTATTACTTACTTCGTCGATGCCACGATATTTTTTCAAGGCATTGCTTTTTTAGAATTGAATATTTTACAGGGATGTAAGAAGAGTTGAATGATACTTGGCCAGATGCAACGACGATTATATTTCCAATTCGATAGATTCTTGCAAAATCGAAAACTTTCAAACATTCATTCTAGTACGTCTCTTTTACCAAAGACCTACAAATCTGAACATAAAAATTTTCAACCTGTTGTAAAAATGGATAACCAAAATCTAACGAATGACATTCATGAAAATATGCTCGTTGATTTTGAGTGCAAGGATGTTAAATCTAAACTAAAGTCTTCAACAGCAAAACTGATTGTTTAGAAAAAAATATGTATGAGTATCATAATAGATATTTACAATTGTCAATCATCATTTCTTCTTGCAACTGCGTGACATGCTTAATCCTTGCGTCCTTCGTGTATTTTCTTTTGGTGGTAGAGTAAACCCAATTTTTGTGTAAACTTCTTCTCACACTGGTCACATACATAATCTTTACGACCCTCATGGATTGTCTTTTGATGCATAATTAAACTCGATTTGTGACTAAATTTCTGCCCACAATTGCTACATGCGAAATCTATGCGACCTTCATGTATTGTCTTTTGGTGCACAATCAATTGTGATTTCCATCCAAATTTATTTTCGCACTTGTCACATGCGAAATCATAATGACCTTCATGTACTATTTTTTGGTGGGAGAGCAAATGCGACTTTCGTCCAAATTTTTTTTCGCACTTGTCGCATGCGAAATCTTTTCGACCTTCATGTACTGCCTTTTGGTGTTTGTTAAAATTGCTTCGATTCCCAAATTTCTTTTCACACTTATTGCATGCGTAATCTTTGCGACTTTCATGGACTGCTTTTTGGTGTTGTTTCAAATTACTTGTTTCCCCGAATTTCTTTTCACAAATGTCGCATGCATAATTTTTACGTCCTTCGTGTACTGTTCTTTGGTGTCTTAACAGAGCTGACCTTTGTCCAAATTTCATCTCGCAATTGTTGCATTCGTAATCTTTGCAACCTTCGTGGACTGCTTTTTGGTGGGAGAACAAATACTGTTTATAACCAAATTTCTTCTTGCATATTTCGCACAAGTAATCTTTTTGACCCTCGTGTACTGTTTTCTGGTGGGAAAGCAAAAGCCATTTACGTCCAAATTTCTTATCACATTTGTCACATCCGTAATCTTTGCGACCTTCATGTACTGTTCTTTGGTGCAAAAGCAAATGTACTTTTTGTCCAAATTTAGTCTCGCACTTGTCACATGCGAAATCTTTTTGACCTTCGTGTACTATTTTTTGATGGATAAGCAAATTCCCTTTTTCTCCAAACTTCTTTTCACACTTGTCGCATACGTAATTTTTGAGACCTTCGTGGACTATTTTTTCGTGTCTAATTAATTTCGATTTTTCTTTAAATTTCTTCTCGCATTTGTCACATTCGTAATCTGTGAAACCTTCGTGGACTATTTTTTGGTGTCTAATTAATTTCCATTTTTCTCCAAATTTCTTCTCGCACTTGTCACATATGAAATCTCTCCGACCTTCATGGATTATCTTTTGGTGCAAGTGCAAACTCGATTTATTTTCAAATATCTTCCCACAATCATCACATTTATAATCTTTACAACTATCATGGATTATATTTTGGCGGGTGATCGAATCTAATTTTTCTCTAAATTCCTTCTCACGCTTATGACAGGTAAAATCTTTACGACCGTCGTGTACCGTCTTTATGTGCAAGCACAAACTTCTCTTATTTCCAAATCTCTTTGCGCACTGTTCACATAAGTAATCTTTGAAAACTTCGTGGAAAATTTTTTTGTGCTTCAGTAAAGTTGATTTATTTTCAAATTTCCTCTCGCACTTGTTGCAAGAGAAATCTTTGCGATCTCTGTGTACTAATTTTTGATGCGCAAACAAACTTGATTTTTTCACAAATTTTTTCTCACTCTTGTTACATGCAAAATCTTCGCGGCTTTTGTGTTCTGATACTTGGTGTCTACTCAAATGACTTCGAAAATCAAATGTCTTTTCGCACTTGTCACAGGCGAAATTTTTTTGAGTTGTGTCTTGGTATATTTTCGTGCTCGATTCAAGCGTAAATGCCTCCTGACAAATATCATCTACATTTTGTTTGTCGTCCGAAACAACAATGTCGAGTTCACTTAAATTATTTTCCAAGACAACTTCTTCGGATTTCTTCTCATTTTTATTCATTTTGATGCCTATCGAATGAGTAAAATTGATCTTTTGGTATTTTGACTTGTTTCAACGAGAAAGACAACATTCAAACTAATTTGTTTTAACTGTTAACATGATCAGTGTGTCGAGGAACAATGTCAAAATTGTTTATGATTATATTGTTTACAATTGAGGTACCATTTTATCTGTTTATACTTGAACAACAAGGAAAATAAAAGCTCGATAAGCGGTACGAAAACGTTAGTTATACAAGAAAGAGGGGGGTCCGCAGGATTAGCCGCTGATGATACGCTACAAAGGCGAGATACGAGAAAGGATGAGCTACTCATTTCGATCAGTGGCGGTTTATGGAGCGCGCCAATCACGTTATGGCGTGGGTATGGGGGCGGCAACTTTTGGAATGAATTTTACAATATTTCATCATACACATATATCAGGATCTATTTACTCGATGTTTTTTTGTTTGTACTTGAACTTGTTGTCTGTCGGGAGTTTTTTCTAGTACTTGGTTCCAGAAGACCCAAAAATTCTTCGACGGAATAGTCGCCAAGTAGAAATTCAAAATTATTTCAAATGTTGTAAGAATAATGTATAAACAGATGAATTAATGCCTTCATTGTAAATAATATATTTATAAACGATTTTGATAAAGTCACTACACATACTGATCATGTTAACAAATTAGTTTGAATGTTGCCTTTCCAGATGAAACAAACCATAAAACCACTCATTTGATTTCTAACGTTCTAAATACAAGGATCCAACGATTATTTTAGGCTCTAAAATGGATAAAAGTGAGAAGAAATCCGAGGAAGTTGTCTTGGAAAATAATTTAAGCGGACACGACATTGTTGTTTCGGATGATAAACAAAACGAAGATGATATTTGTCAGGATGCATTTACGCTAGAATCGAGCATGATAACATATCAAGACAAGATTTACAATGAACGAAAAAATTACGCATGCGACAAGTGCGAAAAGACATTTGAGTTCAGAAGTCATTTGAGTAGGCACCAAATATCAGAACACAAAGGCCGCAAAGACTTTGCATGCGACAAATGTGAGAAGAAATTTTCGAAAAAATCGAGTTTGTTTATGCACCAAAAATTAGTACACAAAAATCGCAAAGATTTCACATGCAACAAGTGCGAGAAGAAATTTGAAAATAAATCAACTTTACTCAAGCACAGAAAAATATTCCACGAAATTTTCAGAGATTACTTATGTGAAAGGTGCGCGAAGAGATTCGGAAATAAACATAGCTTGCTTTTACACATAAAAACAGTCCACGAGGGTCACGAAAATTTTGGATTTAACTTAGATTTGTTGAAGCACCAAAAGACAGTTCATGGAGGTCGAATGGATTACGCATGTGACAGTTGCGAAAAGAAATTTGGACAAAAATGGAATTTATTAAGGCATCAAAAGGCGGTACATGAAGGTCAAAAATACTACGCGTGCGATAAATGCATGAAGAAATTTGAAAAAAAGGCAGATTTTATCAGGCACCAAAACACAGTGCATGACGACTGGAAAGAGTTCGCATGCGAGTGGTGCGAGAAAAAATTTGGACGAAACGGGACTTTGCTCTTTCACCAAAAAACAGTTCACGACGGTCGCAAAGACTACGTATGCGACAAATGTGAGAAAAAATTTGGACATAAACAGTCTTTGCTCTCTCACCAAAAGATATTACACGAAGGTCAGAAAGATTATGCATGCGAAAAATGCGAGAAAAAATTTGGGTATAGGCGGAATTTACTCGACCATCAAAGGACAGTCCACGAAGGTTCAAAAGATTACTACGCATGTGACAAGTGCGAGAAAAAATTTGGACAAAAACCGCATTTGCTTATACACCAAAAAACAGTCCATGAAGGTCGAAAATATTTCACATGCGACATTTGTGAGAAGCAATTTACACAAAAACAGAATTTGCTCGTACATAAAAAAATAGTTCATGAAGGTCGCAAAGATTACGCATGCGATAAGTGTGAAAAGAAATTTGGGAATCGAAGCAATTTTAACAAACACCAAAAGGCAGTACATGAAGGTCGAAAAGATTTCGCATGCGCCAAGTGTGAACAGAAATTTACACAAAAACCGAGTTTGCTCTACCACCAAAGTATAGTACACGACGGTCGCAAAGATTACGCATGCGACCAGTGCGATAGTAAATTCGGAATGAAATCGTCTTTGCTCAAACACCAAAAGACAGTTCACGAGGGTCGCAAAGATTACGCATGTGACAAATGCGAGAAGAAATTTGGATATAAGTCAGATTTGTTGAAACATCAAAGGACCGTCCACGAAGGTCGTAAAGATTACGCATGCGACCAGTGTGATAGTAAATTTGGATTGAAATCGTCTTTGCTCAAACACCAAAAGACAGTTCACGAGGGTCGCAAAGATTACGCATGTGACAAATGCGAGAAGAAATTTGGACATAAATGGATTCTGATTCAGCACCAAATGACAGTACACGTAGGTCGCAAAGATCACGCATGCGACAAGTGCGAGAAAACATTCTCGCATCAGAGCAATGTAATGAGACATCTAATGACAGTGCACGAAGGTCGTAAAGATTTTTCGTGCGACAAATGTGAGAAGAAATTTGGGCAAAAATCACATTTGATGATCCACCAAAAACAAGTTCATGAAGCTTGCACAGTTTTGCATGTGGCAGATGCGAGCAGAAATTTAGAGTAAAATGGAAATTGACAATACACGAAGGTCTTAAAACTTTTGATCGCGACAATTGCAAGAAAAATTGATAATTGTAAATATATGGGCATAATTTTATAAACGTTTTTTTATAATTTCAATAAAAATTGTGCCAAAATGATTTAGTCTTACCAGATATAAACTACCATTACATATTTGTACTTTGTCATTATGGTATGTTTTTAGATTTCACGTACTACTAATTACCATAATCTTTGTTCATTTTTTGGATACTTGGTTCATAGTTTTTCATGCTACGTCGATCAGCTAAGAGTTTTTATCAAGTCTTGTTTGAAAATGTGAATGGGGCAAGCGTTCAGTAGGCTACTGAATTTTTGATAAACCTCACCTAATTATAATATCGCGACTCTGAAATGATGAAAAATGTGATGGTAAAAGATTTTGCTGAATTTGACATTAAAAATAAGTTTTACTGAAACGAACGTGCAAACTACTCCGTAATTTAAGGGCTTATATACACCTTAAATTCAAAATTTTTTTATTCAATTTTAGAATAGGAATTTTTCTCCTCTTTCCATTGCATTTTTCGAAATTCTAAAATTTTGATTTTGCCCTGAGACACAGCTGTTTCCGTATACCGTACGTGTTACAATTTTTCTTCTTTTGCGTTTTCTGGCGAGTAGGGTTTTTGGTCACCTCACGTAACTTTCAAAGGGTACCGATTGAGTTTTCGCACCTGGGTCGCGTACACTTCTTCAGAACATCAATACTCACGGCCACTCCTACGGGTAAACAACAAAATTCGTTTTTGTTACCACAACTGAAATATTTTAGTTACGACAACTTTTTTCTCGGTTAGGATAACAAAAGTCCATTTTGTTGTAGCAACAGGGAAAATAGTTGTCGTAACTAAAATATTTCAGTTATGGTAACAAAAACGAATTTCGTTGTTATAGCTAACGTTTTCGTACCGCTTACTGAGCTTTTTTTTCGTGAAGATTTGAAATAATTTTAAATTACAACTTGGCGGCGATTCCTTCGAAGAATTTTTCGGCATTTAAAACTAATTTCTGCCAAATCAACTCTTGACAGGCATCATTGAGTTCACGAAAAAAACTTCGAGTAAATTTGTCGCCCTGACACCATGATGTGATTGGCGTGTTCCATAATACGACCCTGTCATTATGTATAAAAAAGTAATTTATAATTGATAATTGCGTTCGGGAATCCGGTGCAACGTACGAGACCGTACTTTATCATCATCATAAATACTTGCGGCGAAACTTTAGAGAAAAACTTTTTATTAAAAAATAAATATAATAAGTCTCCCAATGTAGGTATTTTTCTCATAAATACGTACGTGCTTTCTGTCGGTAGTGAGACGAGCAGCCTAACTATGATCATCAAAAAAATGCCCACTCGCACACACACACACACACACAATTAAAAAAATAATGTGTGCTGACGAGACGATTTTTCAAAACTACTCTCGGACTTTGACGCTTGCATGTTTGGTGCACACGGGCACTCGAATGCTTAATGCGACAACACGAGCATATCTTGGGGCTGTAAAGCTTTGCACAACGTATATAGGCGCACAATCGCGCACTCCGTCGAAAAGAGACCTTTTTCGCGCGTTTGCGTACTATACATGTATACGACGACTTACGACCAGTCATGGTGCAATGTACATGTGTGCGTATAATAAGTTGGCGTGAACTTGCACAGTTTCTGGTGCACACTGTGTGCAAGGCCCGACTAAAATGCACCGATCGTGCTGTATGCCATACGTGTTCGCATGCAGGTTTTTTTTCGCTCGTCAGATGGCCTAATGGACTACTACATAATGCCTTCGCGCATTACAGAAAAGACGTTTGCTACTGTTCTATGAACACTCGCGTGTATGTATGTGTGTGTGTTTGCACTTTATGTACATGTTGCCACGTGTTTGAACTACTCGACTTATACCTATATAGATTATAACATTTACAAGTATTTTACAAAATAAAAATTCTAAAAGCTACTCTGCATCATGCTGCATCGTAAGCTTTACGATACATTTATGTATGGTATTTATGTATGGATTAATATATTTTTGATACAAATTTTATGAAAGTAACATGCTTGAATTAAGCTTGTTTTTATGTTAACATTGCTATTAGGTAAACAGTTTATCCCTTCAACAGCGATACCTCGTTCGTGAGTCATAATACTAACAAGGATAATAAATGATAAATAACGCTCACAACAAATTTGCTTTATTTTCCTCTAAAATGCATTAATTTATTTTAACCTTGAATATTACTTTTACATATTAAGATACAACTGAAGGAACTCGAGATATTATAAATGAAAATTTGTAAAATATTCTTCTGGACGTGTACTTGAAGTTCAGAGTTGAGTTAATTTACTTGTTAACTTATAATATACTAGAGATGCACCGTATCAATACAGGCTTTAAAATACCTCTTCGTTGAGAATTTCTTGTTTTTTGCATGTATCGCATACGTTACTTATACATTCATGCGATAATTTGACGTGCTTAACCAAATAATTATTTTATTTGAATTTTCGTACCATCGTTATGCCTCGTGTAAATATGGTTCTTTAGATGACCCTTAACTTTGAATTTCTTTCCGCAAATATCACACGCATGTCTGACACCATTGTGCACCACATCGATGTGGATTTTGAGATAACTCTTCATCGAGTACTTTTTTTCACAAAGATCACACGTATGTCTAACGCCATTGTGCAGTGAATCGATGTGTTTTTTGAGATCACTCTTCGTCGAGTATTTTTTTTCACAAAGGTTACAAGTATGGGTGACACCATTGTGGGCCACATCGATGTGTATCTTGAGCTGACTCTTATGTGAGAATTTCTTTCCGCATACATTACACGTATGTTCAACACCATTGTGCAGTGAATCGATGTGTATCTTGAGCTGACTCTTCTGAGAGAATTTCTTTCCGCATACATTACACGTATGTTTAACACCATTGTGCAGTGAATCGATGTGTTTTTTTAGATAACTCTTACTTGAAAAGTTCTTTCCACAAATGACACATGCATAAATGATTTTGTCATGTACCGAATCAATGTGGGCTTTAAGATTACCTTTTTTTGAAAATGTCTTGCCACATAAGTCACACGCACAGTTACCAATACTATTATGCACTTGGTCGATGTGACTTTTGAGATTATATTTTTGTGAAAATGGCTTGCCGCATATGTCACATGAGTAGGTAATACATTTATGTAATGATCCGATGTGCCTATTCATACTTCTCTTACTTTTAAAAATCTTTCTGCATATTTTACATACGTGGGTTGTATCACTATTTACTATACCGATGTGTGTTTCAAGGTTATGTTCGTTCTGGAAATTTTTTGTAGTCCTTCTTTTTTTATTTTGTTCGATAAGTTTACTGTCGAAATTCAAATTCAATTCTTCTGCAACGTCAACAACTAATTCCTGTTTCACTGCACTCAATGTCTCTGTTTTAATTATGTTTTGAGTTTTATCATCATTGCAATATTTTACATTCCGCAAATGATTTGGATAATCATAGTCAATTTTGATTGCTAATGAATTGAGTGTGGGCTTGACGTCTTCACATTCAACGACTATTTCCACTCCGTCTTCAAGTTCAATTTCATGACTTACGTAAACTTTTTGGGTCTGTCGAAAAATTAAAAGTATGTTAAAATGTTCATAACAAAAAAACTAAAATTAGATTTTTACATATTATTATCAATATTTACCGAATTGGCTGATGGAAATGGTAGGAGTTGAAAGCTTTTTGGGTCGGATTTCTCATCAATCATCTCGCGATCGTTTTCAGTACTCGAGATCTCAGTTGGCTCCTCTTTCACCCTGAAATAACCTCAATTAGATCAAGTTTTATTTTATGATATCTTTATAATTTCACATTCGAAAGGTGAAAATTACCTGACAACACAGTTGAAAAAATCAGAGGAATCCATCGTTCCCGCTTGGAATTACGTTAACAATTTATTTTTCTATCGATGATCGAACGAACCGTACACGTGAAAACTGACGAAGAGCACTAAGAGCCGTAGACTCGTTTTCTGTTGTTTACGTCGCGCGTCATAAGCGTGACCTCCGTGAACTGCCCGATGGTTTGTTATACATGCGCTATGCAATGTTAGTTGTTACACGATGTGCCCTGAGATCTGTGGCGAGGCGAGTTATGAAGCACGCAGATCACGCCATGGCATGGGGGTGGCAAATTTTGGAATGAATATTAAATTTTTTTTATAAATTTACTCGATGTCGCAGCGATTTTTTGAAATACGTACATTTAGATGGTCGAAAAATTCTCCGGAGAAATCATTGCTAAGTTCGAATTTTAAACTAGCTCCGAAATTGTAAGGACAATAAATAATGAATTAATCGATAACTTAATTGTAAACAAATATGTTCATAAACGATTTTGACATCGTCTCTCGAGCACTGATTATGTTTATAGTAAAATCAAATTAATTTGAAAATCAATCCACAATACCAAAAGATAAATTTTACTCATTCAATTTTCGTGAGACTAAATAGACTTATCCACTGTTATAATTTAGGCATCAAAATGGATAAAAGTGAGAAGAAATCCAAGGAAATTGTTTCAAAAAATAACTTGATTGAACACGACATTGCCGTTTCAGACGACAAAAAATACGTTTGCGAAATTTTTCAGGAGGCATTTACACTGGAATCAAACATGATCACACACCGAGACACAATTCACAATGAACAAATAGGTTACCCATGTAACCAGTGTAAGAAGAAATTTGTGAAAAGATCAATTTTGTTGCGCACCAAAAATTTGTACACAAAGATCACGAAGATTTCACATGCGACAAGTGCAAAAAGAAATTTATGAAAAAATCTAGTTTGTTTATGCACCAGAAATTATTACACAAAGATTGCAAAGACTATTCATGCAACAAGTGCGAGAAAAAATTTGAAAATATATCAACTTTACTTAAGCACAATAAAATATTCCACGAAGTTTTCAAAGATTACTTGTGTGAACAGTGCGCAAAGAGATTTGGAAATAAACGAAGTTGGCTCAGACATGTAAAGACAGTACACGATGGTCGCAAAGATTTTGCATGTGACAAGTGTGAGGAAAATTTTATAAAAGAATCACATTTGCTCTTCCACCTGAAGACGGTACACAAAATTAGTAGAGATTTTACATGTGACAAGTGCAAGAAGAAATTTAGAAGAATGGAGGCTTTTGCTAGGCATCAAAATACAGCTCACGATGGTCGCAAAAATTTCGCTTGTGATAGGTGCGAGAAGAAATTTGGACAAAAACATCATTTGCTCTCTCACCAAAAGATAGTACACGATGGTTGCAAAGATTTTACATGCGATAATTGCGAGAAAAAATTTGGACAAAAGCATCATTTGCTTATACACCAAAAAACAGTCCATGAAGGTCGAAAAGATTTCACATGCGATATTTGTGAGAAGCAATTTACACAAAAACAGAGTTTGCTCGCACATAAAACAATAGTTCACGATGGTCGGAAAAATTACGCGTGTGATAAGTGTCAGCAGAGATTTGGACAAAAAGCAAAGTTGCTAATTCACTTACAGACAATACACGAAAGTCGCAAAAATTTTACATACGACAGGTGTGAAAAGAAATTTGGACAAAAATCGAACTTACTTATTCACCAAAAAACAGTTCACGACGGTCGCAAAGATTACGCATGCGATAAGTGCGAGAAAAAATTTACACAAAACCGGAATTTGCTTATCCACCACAAGACTATACACGAAAATTGCAAAGATTTTGCATGTGACAAATGCGAGAAGAAATTTAGAAGTAAATCAGATTTGTTGAGGCATCACAGGACAGTACACGAAGGTCGTAAAAATTTCGCATGTGACAAGTGCGAAAAGAAATTTAAACAAAAATCGGGTTTGCTCTACCACCAAAGTACTGTACACGACGGACACAAAGATTACGAATGCGACAAATGCGAAAAAAAATTCGCATATAAATGTACTTTGCTCGGTCACATAAAAACAGTCCACGAGGGTCGCAAAGATTACGCATGTGACAATTGTGAGAAGAAATTTGAATCTAAAAAAGATTTGTTGAGGCACCAAAGGACAGTACACGAAGGACGTAAAGATTACGCATGCCACGTTTGTGAGAAGAAATTTGGGTATCAAAACAATTTGAGAAGACACCAAAATACAGTTCACGAGAGTCGCAAAGATTATGTGATAAAGGACGATTCTGAAAAAAATGATGATTGAAAAATGATTTGCGTAATTTTAAAGCTAGTGTTTTCCGACCAATTAGTTTGACCATTATGTTATCAATCAATATAACAATCGTTAATCATTAGAACAATTCTTTTACAAAACTTGGCTCCTGTAAATATAAATATTTGCATCACATTATTTCGAGTTAATAAGAAACTTTCTTTTCTCCAAATTCGGTATTTAATCGAATAAATTGTAAAATAAAATAAGTAGATTTTATTTGATAATTTTTAGTTTTTGCAGTTATTACGAAAGAAGAGTAATTGAAGTTTCATATTAGGTCATAAACGTTGATTACTTTCCGAACTATGTACTAGAATAGAAAAATTTTTCCTATACTTTTCAAATAATTTTTTTGGAATTTGCCTAGCGTATTATAAAGAACAACAGTTAAGTATTAATGCCTAGGATGTTCCAGGTATTTTAAAAGTTACATCCTCAAATGAAATAGGATTTTTCTATAATTTTGATTATTTTGCGACACTTAAGTTTCGTAATGAAAATGTGTGTATGAATCAAATTTTTATGGCCATTTTGACGTAGTTTTCATGTTACTCCAATGCCTCCATGCATGTATCGTATGTACACGATTAGTGTGGGTGCCAATTTCAAATGTTCCGGCCAGCTTGGATATCTTTTTTTAGACTTTGATAAGTAAAAAATTCTTTCATTTTTATTGATAATTATAAATAATGTAAGTTTGGAAGAAGGGGTACAAAAAAAGGGAAACTTAAATAAAATTACAAATTTGATAAAAATGAATTTATTGATGCTGAGTGCAGCAAAGTCGTACACATTCGATATTGCTAATTTTCGATGTTTTACTCTGACTGCGATAACTCATGCAGGGATTAACCAATCGATCTGAAAATTTTACATAGCATTCTTAAGGTGTTGACGGGGTGCTGTATACTTTTTTAGCAACGTCCGTGTATCCTAATATGCTAAAAATGCATTTTTATGCAATTTTGAGTTTTGCATCAATATTCGTGTGTAAATTTTGCAATATATATTATGTGAGTTATTTATGGGTCATTTTTTTATGCAATAATATGACAAAAAATGTGTTTTTTCGTACATTTTTTAGTGCGCAAAAAGCGTTTTTGGACACTTGTGTGCGGTAAAATGCCTCATTTTGGACACGGGTGTGCGGTAAAACGCCTCATTTAAATGAACGTATTTTTCGCCTACTATTGCATAAAATTTCGTATGCAACACGTGCCCAGCTTTTTACGCACAGTGTGCGGAAAAAACACCCACTCGTGCCGGCATAGCCGGCACTCGTGTCTTTTTCCGCACACTCGTGCCCAAACACGCATTTCGAGCACTTGTTACATAATTGCTAATTTTTGATGTTTTACTCTAACTGCGATAACTCATGCACAAAAAACTCATTGAAATATAGATTTATTGTGATACTCATTGAAGCTACTTATATTATTAATTTCATAAGGCTGAAACAAATATTACACTGATATTATATGCTATTTTGTTATTTAACATTAAGTCGCTCAGCATTTTGCAACTATGGTTGCCACTAGTGTAATAAATAGTGTAATAAATACAAAAAAGTATACATGTATGTATACATACATTGTATATACCTGCTCTTTGGGAGGTATAGTACATATAGATCGTCGCTGCCGATGTTTTAATAATAATCAATATCACACCGTTATATAATATAAGTCGGTGCTCACTAGGGGTGGACGCAGCTTTTTGCTTTTTAGGCCAGAGTAAAGTATATAACATATTAATTCATACAGGACAGATAAGGTGTGTGTCTGTGTCTGTGTGTGTTTAAGTGCTCAGCGTTATACTTCATTTATTATTAAAAAAAACTATCGATCATGAATAATTAACTTGACATTTTATGCAAGATACATCTTCTGCAAAAATCTTCATTTCATGATTTGTATGTTTAAAAAAACTGTACAGATTGATAAAAATTATAGATAGATTAATTGAAATGAAACATCATGTTTTTTTTTGTAATAAAAAGTTTATTAATTTATTTAAAACTTAATCGTTTCTTAACCCGTTTCGGGCCAAACGGACGAAATTTTAGTTATTTTTTCATTCGGTGTAAAATCTGTGAAAAAATTATGTGAGAAATGTCAGAATAGTCATAACCGACGTAAAATTTTATGAACTTTTCGAATCCAGCGTCAGAATTATCGAAAAAGTTGATGTGTAAAAGTTATGAACAATTAAACAATAAAAAACACGATTTTTTTGAAAAAAAATTTGATTTGATCCGAATTTTCGAGTCGAAACAGACTTGGTCTATAGGTCTAACACGTTTTTTTGCGTCCATGGGGTGTAGACTTGCAAGTCTAATAGTTACGATATCGAAATTCAACATTTTCTCTATAACGTTTTTTTCCTAGGCGCTTGGTTGACATATAAAAAAATTGACTACATTCATATACGGTTTTTTTCTACGAAGCGCCATTTTCGTGTCCGCCGTGTTAAATTTCGATATCGTAACTATTACACTTTCAAGTCTACACCCCATGGACGCAAAAAAAAACGTATTAGACCTATAGAGCAAGTCTGTTTCGTCTCGAAAATTCGGATCAAATCAAATTTTTTTTCAAAATAATCGTGTTTTTTATTGTTTAATTGTTCATAACTTTTACACATCAACTTTTTTGACAATTCTAACGCTGGATTCAAAAAGTTCATAAAATTTTACGTCGGTTATGACTATTCTGACATTTCTCACATAATTTTTTCACAGAGTTTACAGCGAGTGAAAAAATAATTAAAATTTCGTCCGTTCGGTCCGAAACGGGTTAAGCAGTCAGATGGAAAACATAGAAGTGATCCAAAATATAATAGTAATTGTTTTTTACAAAATTTCAATGTACATTCAATGTACAATGTACAATACATTTATTATTGGGTGGTAATGCGTGAGTGATGAGCTATCTCAATGACAGTTTTATAACCACTCATTTGACTCGATGTTTAATCATTTTGCGCGGTATTGATAGGTACGTTTTAAGATCTTTTGCATTGATCTCGTGCTTGGGTATTGACATCATGCGTACATTTGACGTGCATATGTAGATATCTCCTATGTGTAAATTTTTTTCCGCATTAAACACTTGCATGATCAATATCTCCATGCTGTGTTCTAATGTGAATTATAAGACGATCCTTTTGTGAAAATATCTTGCCGCAAGTATTACAATAAGTGGTCTTATTATGCATCAAATTCATGTGTTTTTTAAGATTACCCTTTAGTGAGAATGTCTTTCCGCACACTTCGCAAGTAGGTGCCATACCTTTATGCGCCGCATCGATGTGTTTCTTAAGATTATCTTTCAGCGTAAATATTTTGCTACATGTATCACATGCGTGAGTTATCTTATTATGCACTGCATCCATGTGGAGTTTGAGACTACTCTTATGTGCAAATGTATTACTACATATTTCGCAAGTAGGTGCCATACCATTATGCATCGCATCGATGTGGATTTTGAGAGTACATTTGAGTGTGAATGTCTTTCCACACGTACCACACGCGTGAGTTATCTTATTATGCACTGCATCCATGTGGCGTTTGAGTTTAGTCTTAGTTGAGAATTTCTTTCCGCACATTTCGCAAGTAGGTGCCACACCATTATGCATCGCATCGATGTGAATTTTGAGATAACATTTTTGTGAAAATTTTTGACCACATATATTACATGGATGTTTAACACCATTGTGTGCATCGATATGAAGCTTGAGTGAACTCTCGGTTAGGAATTTCTTTCCGCACACTTCGCATGTTGGTGCCATACCATTATGCATCGCATTGATGTGAAATTTGAGATGACCTTTTTGTGCGTATGTCTTTCCACATATACCACACTCATGTTTAATACCATTATGTACTGAATCGATGTGAATCTTGAGTTTAGTCTTCGTTTGCAATTTCTTTCCGCATATTTCGCAAGTAGGTGCCATACCATTATGCATCGCATTGATGTGAATTTTGAGATGTCCTTTTTGTGTGAATGTCTTTCCACACGTATCACACGTATGCTTGACGTCACTATGAACTGAATCGATGTGAATCTTGAGATTACCTTTTCGTGAAAATTTTTTACCGCATACATTACATGGATATTTGGTACGATTGCTTGCCCCATCAGTTTGGGTTTTGCATAGACTTTTTTGAGCAAATGTTTTTTCATTTGCATCAAATGCATCATTGAGTTCACCATCCGAATTCAATTCCTCTTTTACTTCGTCGACGATTTCTTCTTTAATTTTCTTTTGAGTCTGATAATCGCAACTATTTTTCATATACTGCAAATGATCTGGATAATCGTCCTCGATTTTCTTAACTACTAATAAGTCAATGCCGAGCTTCTGGTCCTTACATTCGAATTCTATTTCCAAATTGTCATTAGGTCCAGAATTTTCATCATATTCTTTAAGTCCATGAATCTGGAAATGAAATTAGTAAAAATAGTTACTTTATAAAAATATTGACTAAACAGTCCCACATCAACACTTACTAAATTTTCTCGACAAAAACTCGAGAATTCGTCGGTTTTAGCATTGCCTGCATTGTCAATTATCATATAATCTTCATTTTCAATTGGGGAAACATTATTTGGTTCCTCCTTCACTCTGCAATATTCCCAATAATATAAAGTATTATGCCATTTTTTTTTTAAATTTCATTCTCACGAAACAAAAATTACCTGACATCAGAGTTATATACATCACTGAAGTCCATGTTTATCACTCGGAACTTGATCAACGACTAATTGTTCTGTAATGATGTTACTCATCGAACTAGATAACTTATACATGTAATCATATTTACAAATCGTGAAATGAAAGTTTGAGAAAATTTATGTCAACAGAGACACTCTAAACTTATCATTTATTATTGGAGAAATTATACTATGATCTCCGGCGTAATAAACAATTAGCCATTTCCTTTGAATTGTATCTTATTACAAAGAAATTATAAATTATTGAACACTTCATGAATCGAGCTTATGATGTGTCCTAGTTTTACAATACCATGTGTCTATCAAAAGAAACAATTTTTTAAAATTCTTCAATTACGTTAATAGGATTAATATTTACAGCCAAGTCTTGTTCAATAAACGGAACCATTAAATTTTCTAAACGATCTTGCATTGTGTTTTTTATTTTTAAATTTTCCGATTCTAGACTCCTCTTCAAAATTAGTAAGGGTGCCGCGGCATTCATACTGGCTACGCCAATGGGTAGAGCTATAACAAGAATAATCAGTTTCGTCGCCAACGAAGATAAGTGGTTACAAATTGTATACCTAAACGTGTACAGGCAAAATCTAAATACAGTGCTGATTATTCGTTCAAGCATAATAAGCCTTGAATACTTTCGTTAAAATTACAGTAAATACATTTAATTTGGGTAGTGATGGATAAATATAGTGGTGTAGTTAGGTACACATTTTTTGTGTTTGCAATGATATTTTTTGAAAGATTTGTTCATCGAACCATTTTTGTTTTCGAATCATTTGTTCATCGAATTATTTTTCAAGATTAAGGAAGAATCAAACGATACTTGGCAAGATGCAGGTAACGTTCATAATTTTGATTCGCTGGACTCTTGCAAAGCCGAAAACGTTAAAATATTTCCATCTTCTAAATCATCAGTAAGTTCAATAATATGAAATATTTTATATTTTTTCACCGCCCGAAACTATTAAATAATCTTAATTTTAGAAAAAATCACAGAAGTAAGGTTATGGGGTTACAAGAAAAGATAGAAGAAAAAAATATTCGTAGATTTTGAGTGCAAAAATGATAAACTAAATCTTTAATGACTATCATCTGCAAAACTGAACATGGCAGTTATTCATCTATTGTGAAAGCAGAGAACGAAAATCAAACCAATTACTTTAATGACAAAGATATAATTCTGATAAAAAAAGAATTTGACTATAATAATAATTGTCCATTTGAAGAAATTAAAAAATCCCGGCTGAAATTTGGGTAATCTGAAAGGATTGGAAAAAATAATTCAAACCAAATTGTCCCTCAAGGATAATTTGTGTAAAAAAACTTACAAACAGAAATTAAGTCTAAAAAAATATAACAATACGACTTATAAGAACATTAGATCAAATAAATGTACAATTTATCATAAATTATTTGGACAGAAATGTTACCCTTACAGATGACATAAATGCAATGCATAATCTTAGCAAACCCTTCGAGGGTGGCGTTTGTAATAAATTAAATGGTCACAAAGATACTGCAACGTCATGCTCTAGCCACCGTAACGATAACGTGGGCTTACGCGATCGCGCATCATCGCGCCTACCCGAATTAGAGCGAGATACACGAAAACATTTGTCGCGCTCGTGCGATAGCGCATCTTCACGAGTCGATGTCAGTAACATGTCTTAGCCCAGCTAAGATAAATGTCATCGCGAAAAAAGAGCACAATTGCGAACAGACAAGAACACGCGTTTACGCATGTTCGATAGCAATCAAACACCGTCTGATGTAACGTGCGGTCTAAAAAGACGCGTAAACGGAGCAAGTAGATAGCTCGCGGCCCACCCTTTGATGTACCGTGAATTCGCGTCAATGCCATGAGCAATAAATTCATATATTATTGAGGGCGAATGACGCGGTAACCGAAATTTGTTAAACAACAAAGTACTCGAGAATCTAAGGAGTATATAAGCGCGGGGCAACTCACGATCGCTCTCTTTGGTATCACCTCTTTTGAATTCTATTTACCTCTTTCGCATTACTGAATTCTGTGCGGTTCGCGATAGGATGCAAGAAAGTCCCTTCGAAGTCAAGTCGTTCCATTCGTACCAGTGCATTGTGTGTCAAGCGAGCGGTGTGTGTGTGTGTGTGTATGTGTCTTTTTCTATATACAAGAACTTTGCATTTGTGTATGCGAACTGATCGATGTTCTGCACTGATAAGTCCGTTTTCCGCAGCCTGAGGCTAATTCCTGCATTTTCTACTATGAGTAGTCTTGGATATTTGCTGTGTATGACATCTAGGCCACACACTGATTCTACGTAATTTTTTCATCAGCGCAACAGCGTATTCTTCTGTATGCAATGTGTAGATGACATCCATTTCGTCTGCGTCCTTGACCTTGTTAGTACCATTTCTGGGGATGTCTGCTATTTTAGCCCCCTGGTACATGTATGTGCCTGTCTGGTGCGGGCCGTCGCATTCTTCTCGTGTGATCTCTTTGCAATATTCAATTTCCCCGTTTGCCACCAGTGATATGTGCGAGTGCATCCCGCAGTAGAATATTGTCCTCTTTATGAGGACTTTGCACTCTTTTATCTTCATCAGGCCATAGTCATTTACCTGCACTAATTGCGCCCGTACCCGTGTTGTTCTTATTTCTGGCCTTTCCTCCTTGCATTTGCCCACATCGATCAGTTATATAGTTGTTAGGTTTGTCAGTTTTGTTCCACAGTCGTATCTATATATTGCGGTTGTCGTTTGGATGCCCATTAACACGATGACTATGCATAGGATCCGCTCCATCATCTACAATTAAGGATCCATTAGTTTTGGTGATCGGGGCACTCCGTAGCCGTCGCTCGCCCAATAGTTCAAGTGTTCGGCGGCGTTAAAGAATTTGAAATTTTTTTTTCATGATCTTTAAGTTCCCAAAACTGTAAATATTGGTTGTTGGCAATGCCACCAAAGAGATCAAACGTTGTTGATTCATTGGACAACAGTCAAAAGAAATTGATGATAGACGAGATTTCTTACTATTCATCCCTTTCCAACTCGAAACACGACGATTACTATAAAAACAAAAATTAAATCAAACCAATACTCCGCAATTGCAGCAAGGTTAAACCTAAGTAGTATACACATGCAATTAATCAACCATATCATTCTTTTTTTCGCAAGTACATTTCATGTTTTGCCGCGTACAAGTGAATTAGTTAAACCGATTTGGAGGACGATTCAGACTAAAAATACTGCTGAGCAACGCAAAATCAATGAGTCGGAAGCATCGGGTGTTAGTCCAATTGACATTTACGAGCCGTCGTGGGAGTTTTGGAAGGATTTGCAATTCATGCGAGATCCGACTATACTTCATATAACCAGTGGAACCTTAGACTCTACATTAATTGATAAGGAAAATAGCTAGTTTCGAAGGGACTGACTTGCGTCCCACCTGGAATCGCACAGAATTCAGTAATGCAAAAAAGGTAAATCTATTCAAAAGAGGCGACATCAAAGAGAGCGATCGTGAGTTGCCCCGCGCTTATATACTCCCTAGATTCTTGAGTATTTTGTTGTTTAATAATTTTAGGTTACCGCAGCAAAACGCTTAAAAAACGGCTTTCAAAAAAAAATTTCAAAATCTATAACGCCGACGAACGCTTGAACCATTGGGCGAGCGACGGCTACGAAGCGCCCTGATCACCAAAACGAATGGATCCTTAATTGTAGATGATGGAGCGGATCCTATGCATAGTCATCGTGTTAATGGGCATCCAAACGACAACCGCAATATATGGCTACGACTGTGGAACGAAACTGACAAACCTAACAAGTATATCACTGATCGATGTGGGCAAATGCAAGGAGGAAAGACCAGAAGTAAGAACGACACGAGTACGGGCACAACTAGTACAGGTCAACGACTATGGCCTGATGAAAATCAAAGAATGTAAAGTCCTCATAAAGAGGACGGTATTCTATTGCGGGATGCACTCGCACATATCCTTGGTGGCAAACGGGAAAATCGAATACTACAAAAAAATCACCCAAGAAGAGTGTGACGGCCCGCACCAGTCAGGCACATAAGTGTACCAGGGGGCTAAAATAGCAGACATCCCCAGAAATGGTACTTAATCGCATCCAATGACGTTTGCCGGCTGGGTAGGCCCCGGAGGAGACTGCAAAGGCGAAACAAAATACGTCGATACATACGGCGTCTTCAACGACGTCGTAGTTACAGGGTGAATCGAAATCGAGGACTACACAGCAAAAGTGAGCTTGGACGCTAACAAACTATAATTAACATCAGGAACGGTATGCAAAGCATCGAAAAGAACTTGCATCGGGGGGAGACGGCAGCACAGCATTCAGGTCGACAATAGACGCAGGAGACTGCGGACTGAACAAATACTCAGTGATATACGATAGCTTTATGAACAAGGTCAAGGACGCAAACGAAATGGATGTCATCTACACATTGGATACAGAAGAATACGCGTTTGCGCTGGCATCTCTACTCCTTTCAACATCAAGAGCCTGATTGCAGGGTCAAACATCCCGGCCTGCAGGACGGTCTTCGCCTTCCTGGCACGATGTCAGATCACCAAGATGTCAGGACCCATACTCCCCCTTTCACTCATCTCTCAACGCAATTCACTCCCACCCTCTCCACTCTTCACATCCACCGTATAAAAAGAAAAAAAAATCGCCGCACCGGCCTATTTTATCCTGTTTACAATTTTTGTATTTTTATGTAATTATATTTGCCAAATATTTGTAACGTGAACGAAATAAAGTAAGTGTGAATACCCCTAGATGGGACGAAGCACATTATAATATTAAAAAAAAAGCCATAAGTACAGTACATCTTCGCAACAAACCCTGTGAATTTGATATTTGTCAAAAATCATTTGGATACAATTGACTGTTCTCGATATTCATATAAATGCAGTACATGATTGTAGCAAAATCTTCGAATGTGAAATTTGTCAAAAATCATTTAATTATCCAACCTATCTTAAAAGTCATGTCAACGCAGTTCTTGGAGTATGTTATTTGTAACAAACGCACCCTTCGAATATGTTATTTGTAACAAATCGTATGGTCGCAAGGATACCCTCAATGCTCACATCAATACACAATGGTAGTAAGCCCTTCGAGAGAGATATGTCGCAAATTATTTGGATACTAGAGTGTACAAAAAAGTAAAGATGCAAACATTGACAACTCATCATCTTAACAAACCCTAGAAGCATGAGATTTGCTTCGAAACATTTTGACACAATAAAGACTTCTGCAATCATACGAGTAAGCTACGAAACTTTAGTAAATCTTTTACAGAATTTCGTGAAAAAACAATAAAATATTTCAAACTGATCCAAAAATCCTTGCCTTGAAGTAAGAATTATTCTTAAACTTTACACGCTCACGATCCTTTCAATTGATTTCCCTTTACGCAGAAAACTCGACAGCATCAATAATTGATATTTTCTGCTGTCATGAAAAATCTTGCTTATCTCTAAATTTTATAAACATTTTTGGGACCACCGATCATTTACTGAAGAATAATTGAAATTTTCATTCTGAAAATACCAGTATTCCTTGTATCATATTGTCACGAGAAAAGTCTTTGTCAATGTACCGGTAACCGTTGTTGATTATGGTATACTTATTGTCAGTTTATTTCATATTATTATCCTATTTTGATAAAACTACTTACAACCTAAGCTTGTAGCAAGTCTTAAAAAACCTCCAGTTTTCCAAATTAGTCTAAACAATGTTTTCTCAATATTTTTTATGCTGATCTATTAATTTTTCGTTGTTTTCTCGATAGTCATACCCATAAAGAAGATATTCTCAAAGTTTAAGCAAAAACTGTCAATTTGTGGACTACTTCAATGTTGGAATAACAGATAGTTAAACATTATGCATCTTGTTGTAATTTCAGTAAAAAAATATTTAACAAGACAGTTTTTCAGAGCCCGTGTAAATTTAAACTAAGAGCATAATTAAAATAATAAATCCATATGTATTATATCAATTAAACTATGTGGCCGAATGAATTCGATCTAGGAAAAAATTTGTATACAATTTTTTTCAATTGGTTTATCGAACTTTTGTTTTAAATTTTTGATTTAAATTGTTAAAACAGTGATTTCATTGGCTTCAAAAAAACATACTTAGCCACGCTCAAGTTATGTTTGACAGCTGTTCATAGCATGTGGCGCCACCCATCTTATGGCTTCAGTACTCAAATCAAAATTTCGCTAAGTTTACTTCTGTACCTATTGTAAGTATAAATCTTTATTGTGGGAGCTCGCAATAACACTCGATTGATACCATCGTTCAAACTAATTTCTTGAATTTTCCTCCATTACATTCGCGTCTTACGACGCAAATATCTCTTAATGCATGCAAAATATTTCGACAACACAGCGTCGTTCTACCGAGGTGACGTGTTCACTAGACTTTCCTAGTTTCGCGATGATTTTTTAGGGACTTTCGCGGTAGACGTTGTCAGCTGATCGAGGCCGATTCCCCTAGTGGCAAAGGCAAGGTACAACAACCAACATTCTCCAGGCGTCTCCGTCTCTGTCTCTCTCACGCGATACACGCCTCGCATTGAAATACATTCAGTAAATGAGCAGTGCTGCCCGTCGTATGTTTGCCAACACGTCTTTCTCTCTCTGTGTTATTAGAAAAAAAAATAATAATAAAGTCATCGTTGTCGTCGCGGAGAGCGAGAGTCAACTCAAAATGAATCTTTTTTCTCCCGATCGTGCCTTCGATTGAGTGCGTGTCGTTGTTGTGTGCGTGATAATCGTCCAGTGTGCGTGTGTCTCGTATATCAAAGTGAGTGTTGTCAGCGGATAAAACGTTCGCGCAGTTGACGTGGGCCAAATGGCGTGGCTCGGCGAAGGCCTGTCCAGCCTGTCGAATCTCAAGGGCCAGATCACGAGCTTCACCAAGGAGGTACTGTCCGACGGCATCGTCAACGAGATCACAGGTGAGAGGCCGAGCCCCCCGCAGGACACCTCTGCTACTCAATGTCCCCCGAATTATCACGTGCCCCCCTATATGTTTGCGATTTGTTAGGTTACTTACTACTGTCAAAACATTGCTCTGTTTTATCGAGCGTCGCGAGGGGCAGATGAAGCGCGCGCGCGATTTTGCCGCGTATCTTTGAATGTCTCGTTCTGCTCCGCTTGTTTGGAAATCGTTTTAATTAAATTATACGTTTATAAATAATTTTCTAATATTTTTAATTTACAGAGGACGAGCGTTCGAAAGATTTGGAAGAGGCAAAGACGAAATGTAGCCAACTGCAGGAGCTGCTGAACTCGAAGGATGCAGAGGTGAGCGAAATTATGTAACTGATATGTAATGCCACAATGACCGAATGACCGAGATTGTTTAATCAGTTATTGCAAGAAATGAGCATACCTGTATGAAGTGCGTTTCTCGATTATTTTACGTACTATGTTGTCGTGAAGAATTTGGCCTTAAAATTAAAATAAAAAGACGCATTAAATGCGAGTGTTATCTTGCATAGTTTGAATGATTATTTTTTGTATTTTTAAGTTTGTGAAGAGATTTTTTCATAAAAATGAAGATGACATATCATGAAAAATTCTCTCACAGTAGCATAATATTTACGAATTGTATCTCGTTCAGTGGTACATTTTTCGGTTCTTCGATTTCGAGAATTTTTTTTTCACATCGCTCGTGCCGTAGCATTTAAACTTTCAAAAGCGTCAAGGCAGCAACGCTCGAGCGCCCATTAAAATGATTAATCTGCTTTTTACGATCGCTCGCGCAGTTTTACCCTATCAGTTTTATTGGACAAAAAACGTCGTGTTTGCCAATTTTTTTTTCTCGCTCTTTCTCGCAGATAATGGTCAATTTTTCCGCGATAATCTTAATAACGACAGATGTTCGTTTTCATCCTGCCCGCGATAGGAGCAAGTGTATATTGAATAAACATTGATAGTGCACACGCGCCGGTTATTAATGAACATATACGTATATATAGGCTTCTCGATGACTTTTATAACAAAACGTATCGTAACCAAGTTGTTATCAACGAAAAAATCTACAACTACAAATTTCATTGAAATCAAACGAATGAAGCATCGATAACGATCATCGTACACTGTAGATATCATCAAAAACAACCGGCCACAGCGCCGGTACAAAAATCAAACGTCCCTAATCATCATCGACCGCGCGGCAGAAAAAAAAACGTAACTTTTTTTTCTCATTCGCGTATGTTTATAATATATAATAGCGGAAACGCTTTATGCCTCGTTTTAACCTGCGATTAACGATAATGCATACACACACACAGTGCGCAGTAAACAGGCAAATAAAAAAAGAAAAAAAAGAAAAAGAAAATGGTTAACTGCAGTAAGAAATTGGCGTAATACGCGTCCTCAGATATACACACATATATTTAATGGAACGTTATCACTCGTCGCCTCTGTGTGTGTGTGTGTGCTTATAATGCGTCAAAGTACGTCTTCCTCGTTGTTTCTTTATCAGCTCGCGCGAGTTTGCTTGCACATATGGACGGCGGCGCATTGTAGCTCTCCTCGTACGCACACTCATACACACACACGTTCGCGATACAAACATTGTAACGAGCTCTCGATTACTGTTGTATATACTCAAAACACGAGCTATGGGAAAAAAGACTCGTTCCTTTTTTTTTTGCAATATTACAGAGAGAAAGAGTAAAATAAATAAACGTAGCGCGGGTATTAGACGTGCGACTTTTCGACGAGCGACGCGCATAGATAGCACCTTATTTGTCGCGAGTGTGTCTGTATATCTGTACCTCCTAATCGGCTCGTAAGCTCGCTCGAACGCATTACGTTGTGTATTGTATATATACTCGGCTCGTTACTTATATATTTCTCACGACGATCGCGAGAGCTGGCGGATGCGTATTTATTAACAAAAGTTACTAATTCTTTTTTCCAAAGCCACGAACGTCGCTTTTACCGATAAAGCAGCGAGTAAATGAAATGCGCGTAATTTCATCCTTTCATTACGATAATCGATCGTGCGTTCGTGTTTACTCGCACTCTGAAAGTAGTCCGTATTTTTGTCGTCGCGTTACAGTCGAGTGGTGTCTCGTGCGCGGCGTGCTGCCTGTGTGTGCCGTATATAAGTGCGTAACATAAGGGCAGGCTCAGCTCGAGCTTGTAATATATATAGAGAGAGTCTGCGCGAAACATTATCGCAAGGTAAACTCAGATAAAGGTGACAAATACCGTACGCACACACGTGTAGACTACGAACACGGTGTATAAGTACGTCATTATGAGGTTTTAGACCCTGCGGGTGTTGGTAAGGTAAGATTTCAAACGGCCAAACGGATCTCGAGGATGTATTCTTATACCTCACTCGCATAAATGCACTCGATTTTAAATTTGCCATCGCATCGTAAAACGAATCAAACGAGCTATACAGGTCGATTTCAATTATTGTATACGATTGTTTTTTTTTCATTTTACAGATATCGCTACTGAGGCGGCAAAACAGCGAGCTGCAAAAAGCCGTGGTGGAGTTTCGACAAAAGCCTGCTGACCCTGTAAGTAATACAAAAAAAAAGGAATTAAAATTACAATATCGTTGTACATTAGTGTAAGCGTACGATATGTACTTTGAATTATAAATTATGTTATCCCGACGCGCGGCTCGAGTTCGCCTATATACATATTGCAATAATATATGCTATATCCCAAGTGTCTATAGCCTCACGTGATATTGGAAATTCAAAGTCGGTCATTGCTATTAAAGCGTGAAGCAAAAAAAAAAAAATAAAGTGGGAGAGAAAACCGAGTAAAATTGTATAAAATAAAGTCAGATTTAATAAAGATAAAACGAGGTGTGCGAGCTTTTTCTCACTTTGTTTTTCTTTTTTGTTATGTACTTTTGCGGTACTCGAGTTTATTTCGGCGCGATACACACATGCATAATATATATTGTAACGAGCGGTGAGTTACGCGCGACGCAATACAAACGAGAGAGAAAGACCAACAAAAAAAAAAGTTGTATACACGAAATGCGGGTAGCTATATGTGTTTAATAAAGCCTGCACACCCATTTACACGTCTCATAGTTTCGGAATCATCGACGCTTGTACTACTCGTTAGATGTATTATTGACTCTTTGGTTCTCGAGGTTTTGCGAGTTAAATAACGGACGATTTGTACTCTACGCACGACTCTTCTTTTTAAGCTCGTTTCGCGCAGCGCAACACCTTTCCCTTGGTGAAAAAAAAAAAAAAAATTAAAACCAAGATACGAGTCGCACGTCGTCGTAAAAAAGGGCCCCACTCGCGACGCATCGTATAGCAATAATATTTTTGTACGTGCATCATCTTTTCGGAATTGAGGTATCGCGCCGCAAACAAAGGATCGGCCCTTAACGCCTGTGTACACACACACGCTCGAGAGGTCCATAATTCCAACACTTTCTGTCTGTCCTCTCTTTTTTAAGCACGCGATTCGTGCGGAGGAAGTGTTGTTTTTGCCGGTGCGCGACATGTATATATAACGCGCCACGAAAAGAAGTGAGAAAGTCCGGACGTAGAAAAGTTCACGAGGACAACGACGACGACGTGCCTGCGAACAAATCCGCGCTATAGAGCTGCCTGCGCCGATGGAAGCGAAACAGACTCCGATAAGCAGCTCTGCGTTTCGATTGATCATAATGTACGCAGATATAGGCTCGAGATGTCGTGTCGATACATAGCCCATATGTGCGATGTATACATACGTAGATGGTATATGTAACGAGATTGCGATGTCTCTTACTGCGGAGAGATCCGCTCGCGATCTTATCGATGCTAAAAAACGAGATGCGAACGAGCCGTTAAAAGAGTTGGGCTATTTTCGAAGTCGAGCGAGCTATATTTATCTCGCAACGTCGAGAATCAACCAATGTCCTTAACGCGCGTAACGTATATAATAATGGGACCTCGAAAAAAAAGGTGATGGGCGATCGAGATACTTTGAATAATTGTCAATGCGCGTCGAGTTCTCTCTTCGTCTTCCTTCTTCGTTTTTTTTTTGTTCATTCTCGAAACGCGATTACAATAAACTCGTATTTTTACTATATCTTTAATATACAATGCTCGAGTTGATTGGCTGGCTTTATTTTCAAGGCTCGTCGTCGCTATTACGGTTATCTAAGAGAATAGAAAATACTCCGACTCCGTAGCGTAGTGTATGAGTGTGCATACATTTCGCTGCCGACTCGGTATACGGTCTAAATAAATAAGCGATTTCTCTTTTTTGCTTATCGTCCGCCAAGTCATAGGAAACGCCGAGTTTCGCGATTCCCGTGTTCGATTCTCGAAGACGAACGGCAACAACAAAAAAAAGGAAGAAAAAAAGAGCCATAGATTAATCCCGAAATCGTTTTGTGTATTATACGAGATGTCCTCGTTAGATAGCCCTTCCGGACGCGTGCGGCGGCGACGATGATCGGTGATAGTATCCGGCGGGTTCTGTATACCTTCGAAAGACGACAAATGACAAAAAAAACGACAGATATGCAACGCTCACGTCCGTCTTTAGTGTCTCGAAAGCTGAAGCAAAAAAAAAAAGTAACGGAGAGAAACAAGACAAAGTCATTACCAAAATTATGCAAAACGTCGAATGCGTCTCTCCGACTGTATAATATACGCTGCATATATGCAGCACGCTTTACACGTTTGACAGAGTTCGAGAAGTCGGAATTAACGTTTTGCGCTGCTCGCGAGGACAGGATGTTCATTTTTTACGGTAAAAATGTAGGGTATACATCGTATTTATTTATACGTGTATAACACGAACTTGCATACGGACGCACGAGTGTACGACGTTCGCTTCCACCTGCCAACCCGCAGCTTTAACAGCTCGTTCGCCTATGCGTACTGAAGTCGAAGCGAAAAAAAAGTAGATGCGAATAAATAAAAATAAAATTGAACAGGCGAGCTGCGAAAATAATCGAAATATATTTAACAAAATATAATAGGCACGAAAGAGCAAGCGCAGAGGAAGAAACGATCGCATTGCATCGTTTTACGAGGAGATCGGTATGTATGTAATACGCGCGTGGCTCGTTACAAGCACGTATTATAGTGTGTATAAGAGGTACGAATCGACTCTCGGTAGCGCACAATTAAAAAGGAATGGAAAAACGAAATAAAATAAAAAAAAAATAAAAAAAAAACAACAGACGTAGGAGTCGAACGTACAACACGTAACGCGTTACAGCCATTTGACGTTAAAAGCGATAAAGCTTCGTCTCCGTGTGTACATAAATATAGTTCACCTGCATGCGTACGTGAATCGGCATATTAATTGCAAAATAATTTCGGGCTCGCTCGGTTCGCAAATCAATATACCAGCGTATATATACTAATTCTTATCCTGACGCGCGCACACGTTTGTAAGATAAAACAATGGCTCGTATATATTTATCGATGGTTTTTGGGCAAAAAATCAATATTACATAGCTGACAATTGTGTATATCGTGTACCACGTGAGTCACTCGGCGCTTTTGATCGAGTTTCTGACGTATCCGTAGCGGTGACACGGATAAGCTAAACTCATATTATACATATACCTACGCTTTACAATTCGACGACGTTTTTCTTTTATAATTGTTTCAATTATTTCATTAGCTGTCGCTATGTACGCAAACCGGAAAACCGAAAAGAAATATTCGTCGCAATATTTCGCGCGCCGCAAGCGTGTTACGTACGGTGAAGTTCACGCGGAGACTGGAAAAATACTACGAAAATTACGCGAAATAAAACTTTGTCCCTTTTTTCGCCATCGTATCTCCGAGTCGTTTTCGAGTGTATATTGCAGTTGGGACTGCAGTGCGCAGCCGTATGCGCGTGTGTACTTGTGCGCGTTAAACTTGCGCACGTGACATTCCTCGCGTATCTCGCTCTCTTGGATTTTTGAACGTTTAAACAAACACAACGATATTATATGGAACGTGTCCTCACCATTACGCAGCAAAAGCTTAGCTCTTCCTCTCTGTGTGCGCGAAAGCGAGAGAGAGAGAGAGAGAGAAAGACGGATTTGTTTGTTTTTAAACTTGCTGCGCTATACACAATGCGTATCAAACAAAGTACGGTGAACCCTACATTATTATATGCATGTACAGTACACGATAAAATGTTCGTTTGAATTTTTCTCGTATTATAATATACGGTGACCTATGCAATGGACTATACTTTATTATTTTCTTTCATATTTAACTAATAAATGTACCCATTGTAAGCCATTTAATGATTACTGTATAATTAATTTATAATATTTGACGATCGTGACTGTTTTATATGAACCCAATGTACACTATTATTTGAAAACATCGCTATGATCATCAAATGGCGAACAGAGTTATATTCACGAACGATTCGTTGAATTGAATAAAAAAAATCGGCATAAATCGTGCATTTGTATACAGTCACACGAGAAGTGGGGAAACTCGGCTTGCTCCGAAATCACAATCGACGAATACAACTCCGAAACCCATCTGTGGTTTTGGAAAAAAACACATCACACTCGCACTCACATGAACCGATCTAAGGCTGTATAATAAGCACACGCACACGTATAACAAACGCACGCGGGTCTCCGAGTAGAGGGGTAAGCATCGTAACATACGCGATATGTATACGTCGACTTCTCTCTCTCTCTCTCTCTCTCTCTCTCCTTTTTCTGCAACGCTCATACATACATACATATCGGCGCGTCGCGAGTTAGTATGTCGCGCAGTCGTCGTCGTCGTCGTCGGGGGCATGGGTGCCACAGTGGTAGTAGTAGTAGTAGTAGTAGTCGTGCAATAGATCGTCGCCGCGCACGGATATTATACCTGCGACGGAGCACAGTTTGCCATCGGCGCTCGTGCGCTCGGCACACGACATCGCGGCGCTCGTAACTCGAAAAATATTTTTTTTGTATCGCACGCGTAGTAAACTTTGCAAAACGTAATTTTTTTTCTCGCTCCCTAACGCACGTGTGTCTTTTTTTTTCATTCTATCGACGCCGAGGTGAATTTCTCTCTGTTTCGCGTAATCGTTCGCACGTGCGCGTTCGATCGAGCTGTGCTTCGTATGCTCGAGCTTTCGTAAAATAGAAACTTTAATTATCGTACAAGCTCCGATCGGTGAGGTGCGCGACGCTCACACGTATATATACAGAGGAGACACGACTCTCGAGACGCCATCCAGAGCTTTTAATTACTTCAAGTAAGTGTCGTCATTCTCACAATTCATAATATGTAACGGGCGCTTTTTTGTCCACAACGATCGACCGCCTTGAATTATTATTCTTTTTTCTCGGCTCGACTCGTCCGATGTAGTCATTTTCCTTTAATGACACGTTCTCGTGGCGAAAAAGTAGCGTACGTTATATTAGCGATTCTCGCACGCGTCGCTCGAATCACGCGCCAGAGAAAGAATTAAAGAAGAAGAAGAAGGAATAATGAAAGAAAGGAAAAACGACTTAAAAAAAAAATCATTATTACGAAACGGTGGCTGGCCGTTCTCTATTTAATTGCGCGAACGCGCGCGCGACTTTTTA